ATGTGTCATATTGTGTATATTGGTGTAATTACTTGGTAATAAATGTTAATTCGAATAATCTTGAATAAAAAGACCATTTAAAATTTTCATTCATTTTTATATTTCATTAAACAAAATTTAATATTTATCACATCTCTTGTAAGTATATTTTACTGTTTTGATATGCAGAAATCTAACTTTAAAGAATTTTTTTATTAACAAATAGCAAAATGTCATTAACTATTTAGTGCTTTAAATTTTCTGTCAAAATAATATATTAGTACTTGAAGTAGATTAATAATCTAATGTTAGAACTTTTAATTTTTTGAAGCCCTATATATTATACCGTAGAGAGTACTTTAGAATCGCATGTATAGAAATAAATTTGTCTTTGGTGTAGTGATTCTTTAGTCTTTTACACAAAAAATTGAAATTGAAATTTAAGTAAATACTAAGAGCAATATGCTATAAAATGAAGTAAAAACATTAGTGAAACTCCTATACTTCTCATTCAGTTCTTCTGATGCTTCTGAAACAAACCTGCATGTTTTAAGACTCCTTACAATCTTATCCGTGTTTTCGAAATTAAAGTTTCCAGAATTAAATATTCTATTATTGAAGGTGAGATAAAATAGTTTTGGCTGCATCATATAGCTGGGAAGCCACTTTCTATCTCAGTGTTTACAGTGATAAAAGGGTAACAAAATGATACAAACCTCAGGATTTCTTAGATAAGTTATGATGAACAATGAAAAATTCTTTAATTCTTATGAATGATAGCTTATTAGAAATGAAAGAAATGATCCCAAGGAGTGCTTTTGAGGTTATTTCTAAGGGTAAAAAAAGTGTTTGTATAATACTGTTAATTGTTGCAAAATCATGTATTTCTTAATAAACATAGATCTCAATTCTGTAGACTAGCAGATAAAATGGACCATTTATTGTGAAGACAAGGAGAAAAGTACTTGAATATTGCTAAAATTAATTTTTTTAATGTTTATACATTCTTATTAAGGGTATTTAAGCATGTAAAATATAATTTCCTAAACCATTTTTTTAAACTGATGCTGAGTAAAGAATCTAATAAATTCACACCACATATATTATTGTAAGAAAGATTGCATATTCATACAATATCATGAGCTGTCAAATGTGGCAAGCATACAGTAATACACATTGGCATTGTAAGTTAGCATTAGTGTATGAATCAAGGTTTCATTAAGCAATATCAGTCACTAAAATGTCTGATCTTTTTCTGATTTTGAGTGTTTGGTGAAATATTTATATATGTCTAATATGTCTAATTTTAGAAGAAAAATACAAATTTAAAATAGGAAATTAAAATTTTGTTTTCTTTTTGCTTCTAGTTTATATTTTTAAATCAGAACTGAAATATATATATATATATATATATTTATAGTATAGATTTATATTTAAAATTTTTACTATTTTTACTATTGTGGAATGATTTGGAGGTATCCCTAAAATCAGAAGCCATCACTAGGCATTTTGCTATTCAGTGCAATGTGTGCCAGTTTTAAATTCTGCTGCTCGGCACTCATTAAATTCTGAAAAACTTTTCCATCCCCAAAATTCTACTGCTCAGTGCCCCCTTCCTTTCCCAAATTCTGAAAATTTTACTGCTCCGGGTAGTATTTCTGCTATCAGGTGGGGCTGCACAAGTTGAAATGGATCAGGGCCCTACCAACATGGAATTGAAATATAAAATTCTTAATGCCAATGCGGTGTCCTTGCAGTGAAAGCAGTACAACTTGAGGGTGTATGGCAGTAACTGAAACAAGATATTTGGAATTTGATGACTGCAATAAAACAGTATACATACTGGTGGGAATTTTGAAAAAAAAAAAAAAAAAAAAAAAAATATACTCAAAATTACTGAATTATAATAATTTTATTATTATTATTTTTGCCAAAGTAATAATCTTAAATAGAATGAAGTAAGTACTAAATTCTGGTATTTTATTCTGGTGTCTACAAGTGCTTGAAGTCTTTAATCAGTCTCAATAAATAGATATTAAGAATTTCTAGTGTTATTAAAATTAGTGTAAAAAAACCGTATATTAAAGTCATAGGAAAATGTCAAGCAATTTTTTTGTGGAAACTAGTTTAATCAATGTCAGAATGCATATAATATATCAAAATAAATAAATGTTATCTCATCAGTTATTTTATGGGAATTATCATTTCTAAAATTGTTTATTGCAAAATCATTTTGTAATGTCTACAATTTTTTTATTTTATTTTTTTTATTAAGTACTTTGTGATTCTGAAAAATACCTAATAAAAATTTTAATAGCTTATAGTAAAACCTTATTGAGGCTATAAATGTTATGAAAATATTTTTCTGTTAGCATAAGAACACTATGTTAAACATGAACATTAACACAAAATCTAATTAAATGGCAGCAACACTTACCAAGGATAAAGCTTCGTAAAAAGAATGACTAATCCAGAACACATACAAAATAGATATTATTAGATAAATTTCAGATTATACAGTTTAAAACTGCCAATTTCATTTAATATTGCCAAAAGCATTTAAATTTATCATGCAATCATCACCATATGAATTTAATGTAGTAGATATCTATATGGTGTAGACCAGTGCCACACTGATGTTTATTTCGTCATTTTGCATACAGCCTTCTTTATCAGGATCAGTAATACAGTCAAAAGTCGTTAATCTGAATGACGAAACCCGGACCTCAAAGCTCAAACTTTCCTTCGATGCTCACATAATGCTTCAGCCCCTGCCATCCATCATTGGCATGCATATTCTTTGTGCAGCGCATAATATGTAGAATGGACGTCTAAGCGAAGCTAAAATTGTCGAAGTACTTTACAGTTACTTGCTATTGCATTGTTCCTTAATCTCGTTGGATCTGGCTTATCATTTTTTGCAGACTGTAGAGCATTTTTAAAAAAGCTGAACTTCGATTATTCAATAATTGCCATCTGCACTCCAAGGATCTCCAGTGAAAGCATTTTCAATGTCATAAACACAAATGGATTGCTGCAAAACTGGATAAGGCATATCCTTTGTTTCTCTAACCATTCCGAAATCAGTTTATCAATTTCGCGCTGCTCTGCGGGGGGAGGCATGCCGCGGCGCGCAATGAATTGAAAGTTGATCTGTCACCACTATCCTTATCTTCAGGGCAGATGTTTTATTTATTCAGCTTATAATTCATTACTAAATGTAGTACCTTATTTGACGCAATATAAGACACACTTTTTTTCCTAAATTTGGTTTCAAAAAAGTTACCTGCGTCTTATACGTGAAGGTAATTGCATTCAATAATTGTTTATTTGGCTTTTACGAAATGTGAGAACTAAAAGAAACCACGCTATTGAAACTTTTTCCCCTTGTGTGTGGCCGTCTAAATAAGGGTGCGTCTTATATGCCATCAAATACGATATTTCATCTTGATGTACTCTGTCTTTGATATGATGTAAATCAAATTCATTATAAATACGAATACACATCAAATAGTTTTTGGTGCAATTTTCTAATTTCGACTATGCGTAATGTATGTTTTACTCATGCGCACGTTGAGAGAAATGCTTAATAAAGTAAACGAATAAATATTAAGCTTTTTTTCTTGTAAATTTTGATACCCTTTTTTAGATCATAATTGTTCTTTATTTCATAAATTACGGTTTCGTATTTTTAATTTTATAATTTTTGCATGCTATCTTACCAGATTTAAACTGATGATATATAATCTGGAAAAATCGATAATCCGAAATCGCCGAAGTCCAGACGAGTTTGGATTAAAGACTTTTGACTGTATTGTGTTTGTGGTTAACTTGCAGGTTTCGTATCTAATAGTTGCCATTTGCTTAAGCCTCTGGAGATCAAAATTCCTTGATTGATGTTCCTTGCCTGCTTGTTCCTAGCAACATCACTTCATAGCTGTTCATGATGTGATATAAATACTACCGCATTTTGCAACTGGTGCCATTTTTAATAGAATACTGTCATTACGTATTTATAAAAACCTTAAGTTTTTAGATACAGGAAACATGATAAATCAACTTTGCCTTTCTGAGATTTTCCAGTTGTTAGTTAACTAACAACTAACTATGTACACCACAGAAGCATGTATGGAGGAATGGGTAAAAGTATATTTACGGGTACCCCTTGCGGATTTTTGGCGGTACATGGATACCGAGTTTGTGCAATTCCATGACTTGTTATTTTGGCTTGTGTAGCGGCGATTGTTCTGCCAAAAAATCGCCGCTACACAACTTTGGTATCCATGTACACATCGACCTATTTTCACTTAAGAAAAATCCCAGAATTGCACAAAAATGGCATTGCGCACTCCCTTGACTTTATCCATGTATACATCGACTTATTTTCACTTAAAAAACATCAGAGAATCACTCTCTTGACTTTGTCCATGTACATATCGAACTATATTCACTTAAAAAGTCAAAGGAGCAGCCAACAAATATATAATCTCAATAAACTACATTTTAAATCAAACAATGGAATAATATTAAAAAGGAAATTCATCTTTCCACACACAATGACGATTTACTACCTATTTCGAATTAATGTCTTCGGTCAAACCAAATTCCTTAACAGCATGCAAAAACTCCTAAATATTGAACTAGAGTATATTGGCTTCCCTACATAAATTCATAAAAAGAGTAAAAATATACTTAGCACATTCGACCGTACGCATTTCCTTCCTACAAACAGGACATCTAATAATGGCTATTAAGTAAACCTTCATTTACACAACAGTCGGTACAGAAACTTCCAAATTAAGCTTACTGCATTCAGCCATTTTACCATCTAAACCACAAAACAAGCAATATACTTCCTAACCAACACACACACACCACAAGCCTTTACGAATTTACTGCAGTCGTGTAACCATTTACTTCATAATAGAGTTTCCATAACATTCAACTATTCAGGCTACCATAAATGAAACAACAACTTTGCAATAATACAAGGAGTGCCCTTTTCTCTACTCTAACTGGAGGAATGTTATAATTTCTTATTTTTTAACCCACTTAAAGGATGATTAGGCAGGAGCATGATACTCAGTCGACCAAATCCAAGTGGTGATGAGTTATCATCCATCATATTTTTTGTTCAAGTTAGATTTTTGAAAGTAGAAAAGTGATAAATCAACTTAATCTTTGCTGTGATTTGAACCATGGATCTTGAAATTACCAACTGGATGTACAGTCAAAAGTCGTTAATCCGGACTCGTCGGGACTTCGGCGATTCCGGATTATTGATTTTCAGATTATATCATCAGTTAAATCTCGGTAAGATGGCATGCAGAAATTCTAAAATTAAAAATATAAAACCGTATTTATGAAATAAAGAACAATTATGATCTAAAGGGTATCAAAATTTACAAAAAAAAAAAAAAAAAAAAAAAGCTTAATATTTGTTTACTTTTTAAACATTTCTTTCAATGTAAGTTTTTAAGTTACTTCGTTTTGTGATAATACTTTCTTTAATTCTATACACAGACATAATTTCTTGTTCAGTTACAAAGTTTCCGCTGTTCAATGCCGTTAAGTGCTGTGCCGGGAATACCGACTAACTTTTCAATCGAAATTTTTTTTGTTTTCACAACCTCTCTGTCACATTCTTCATGTCTTTATCCAGTTTTTTGCAGCAGTTGACTTTTTGTTTGATGGACACGAAACATATTTCGTTTTACTATCCTTTGGAACTCCAATCGGAAATTCTATTGCATAATCGAAGTTCAGTTTACTTTTAAATTTGCTTTACAGTTTCAAAAATCATCAGCCAGATCCAATTCGAAGATTAAGGAACACGAAATAAATTATGAATAGATAATTTAGCTCATCCACCTTTACATAAAACGCACACGTGAAACATATTCTGTGCTGCGCAAACGCATATGCACAGTCGTAAGGTCTTACCACACGCATAACGCTATGCACTGTGTCACACCTCACGCATAAAGTTTTTAGCTTTGACGTCCGGATTATAGATAATTCCGGATTATGGGTGTCCGAATTAACGACTTTTGGCTGTACTAACCAGTTGCACTGCAAGAATACATACAGGTGAAATTGATTATTCCTTGTAAGAGGAACAGATTTCAATTTCAATCACATCATGTTTTTCTGTTGATAAAGATGCTTTTTATTGTACATTTATAGCAAGCAAAGAAAAAAATAAAAAGGGAAAGAAATTGTTAATTATGTTAAATATGAAAATTATCTGTATTTTATTAATTTTTCTCATTTATTCCATTTCAGAAATAAAACAATTATGAATGTATTTACAAAACTGCGGTCTTCAAAAAAGTCCTCAAAGAAGGAACAAACACCCTCAGAAATTGGAATACCTTTCTCTGTGAAGCACAATATTCATGTTGAGTTTAATCAAGATACAGGAGAAATTGAGGGGCTGCCTGAGCCTTGGTTGCGTCTCCTTCAGCAGGCAAATATTAGGTACTAAATAATTTAAACTTTATTAGTTAATCTTTAATGTATTTGTCTAGAATTTTATGCAGAATGTAAATGTTGAATACTTTTGTAATATTTCACTTAAAATTTATGTTTCCTGTCTACTAAATGGAATTTCATATTAAAGGTACTATTAACAATAGAAAAATATTTATTTTAATTGTCCGTTAAAAATTATCAAATAACTTGCATTTTCCCCCTTTTCTTTTATATAAAAACCAATTAAATATTTGAAAATTTGTAAATTATTGCTATGATTTAACATTTTGTTTATGTATCATACTTAAAAGTTCAAGAAATAAACTGATAAAATTGATAATCATTTTTTAATTTCTAAAAATACTGTAATTTTCTCCAACTTACAGGAAGTTTAAGCATATTTTGTCTACTACAGTCAAAAGTCGTTAATCCAGACTCGTCGGGACTTCGGCGATTCCGGATTATCAATTTTTCCGGATTATAGATCATCAGCTTAAATCTGGTAAAATGGCATGAAGAAATTATAAAATTAAAAATATGAAACCGTAATTTACGAAATAAAGAACAATTATGATCTAAAGTGGTATCAAAATTTACAAAAAAAGAAAAACTTTAAAATTCTGTGTTAAGTTGCTTCGTTTTTATGTGATATACATTTCTCTTTAATTCTATAAACAGATACATAATTTCTTGTTCAGTTACAAAGTTCTGCTGTTCAAGTCCTATAATTGCTGTGTTGAGAATACCAACTAATTTGTCAATCGAAATTTTTTCGTTTTCAATAACCTCTGTCACTTTCTTCGCTATCGAAAGCGAATTATAATGACAAGGCATTTAATTTAAATTATATCAAAGACAGAGTATATCGAAATGAAATACTACATTTAGTAAGCAATTATAAGCCAAATAAAATAAAAACATCTGCCCTGAAGATAAGGATAGTGGTGACAGATCAACTTCCAAGTCATTGTGCGCGGCGTTAAAGATAAGCAAAGTTTAGATAAACAAAGGATATGCCTTTATCCATTTTTTGCAGCAATTCCACTTTTTGTTTAATGGACTCCGAAACATACTTTCGCTTTGTAGATCCGTTACATATTAGTAAATATAAATCGGAAATTCTATTTGACATAATCGAAAGTTCAAGCTTACTTTTATAAAATTGCTCTAACAGTATGCAAAAAAATAATAAGCCGGATCCAATTCGAAGATTAAGGAACAACGCAATCTGCAACATTAACTGAAAGAGATAATTAGAGCTTAGCTCATACCGTCCGTTATACATTAAACGCGCATTCGTAAACGTATTTTGCGCACACGCAAATTCGCAGCCGTAAAGGTCTTACGCGACGCCATGCGCAGAAAGTTTATAGCTTTGAGGTCCAGAGTATAGATCATTCCGGATTATAGGTGTCCGAATTAACGACTTTTGACTGTATACAACAGCTTGTGAAACTGGTGAAATGTTAAGTATTATAGCAACAATAACAAGCCATCTAGAACTGTATTAAATATGTCATATTCTTAAATTATAGCTGTATACTCTTAAAATTAATAGTTTCTAAATTTTTTTTAATAATAATAATAATGCAGTTACAGAAGTTCTAAAGTTATTTCAGAATTAAAGTAGCCACCTCAATCAAAACTTTAAGGTTAATCACCAAGCTTGGTGATCCAAGTTCCTCTTTAAGCCGCGATTAGCACCCAGTAATTACATGCTGTCTTGATTTAGATGCTACTAAGAACACTGCAGGTAGGGAAATGCTTAAGCTGGACGGTGCAGGGAGCTGAGATGTAGAAAGGGGTGTGACCAAAGTCACGTGAGCTCTGAGATGACATCTGATTGGTGTTGAAGTATTCGTCAAAAAGTAACATATATAGAATACAAGAAAAATATAAAATAAAATGCAGAATAAATAGTTGAAAAACAATATTCTAGGTTAAATACAGATCATATACATATGTACATAGTTTCAGGAAAGCTTGATTGCAGGAAAAATACCTGAATAGCGGTGTGCACAGGTCACATGGGACACCACCATCCCAAGTGCTGGTTCTGATGAATGCTGCTTTATAGTGGACTTAGAGTTCCAATAGTCACTAAATGAAATAGATAGCAATTACGTAGGAAAGTTCTGATTGCTATCCAGGATGAAAGCAGCAAAAGGACGGAGATGTCTGTCTTCGTCTAAGATTTCATAATGAAATAGATTAAATAAATTCAGATGTTCATAGTCTTTAGCTTTCCTGAAGAACTTGTCATTTGTTTTACGTAAGAAAGTATTTAGTGGCTCGATTTTTAAGTCCCTGTGGAGTACTTCGTTCAGCACAAAGTAATGGGCACTAGTTATCAGTCTTAGAAAATGATTTTGCACAACCTGAAGCTTGTTTAAGTCAGTTTTAGTCACAGTAGTCCAGGCTGGTGAGGCATACATCATGATAGGGCAAATAGTTGAGAGATAGATTAATCTCTTTTTGGTGAGATCAAGTTTTGAAAAGCGTCCTAACATGGGATACAAGCATTTCATTACATAGATGGCTTTATTTCTCACATTATTAATGTGGTTAGTCCATGTCATTTTACTATTCAGGGTAACTCCTAAGTACTTAGCATGTTTCACAACAGGTATGGGTTCATTAAACAATAGGAGTTGCCTCTTGAGGTTCTTTTTATTTTTCTTTTTTCTGATGATGAGCAGTTGAGACTTGGATGCATTAATTTGTACTTTCCACTTTTTGAGACTTAAAATGCTTTCACCAACCATCTCACTTCTATTTTGAACATAGAAAAACATTTCAACCTTTTATACAGTGAAATTAAATACTATGTTGTTTATTTTTATTTCAACGCTCTTTCTGCGTGGTCGTTATAGATTCAAGTTAAAAATTAATTCTGACACTCTTGAAAACAGGAATAAACTAATGAAAAATAACTTGAGTAAATTTATAGCAACCTGAAAAGAAAAAAACTTTTATAAATGATGCTAATAACCAGGATATGGGGCTAAGAACCACATAAAACCTTTTCTGTGGAAAGTACTTGAATGTGGGGAGTACTAGCCTACCTGATTTTCAGAACAGTAGTTTGAAGAATGTTGAATGTGAGACTAATTAAAAATGCTTATGTAGGTCAAAATTCAATACTAAAATTGGTGAACGATATGCACAGGAAAGTGATAGATGAAGGTTTCATTTAATTTTAATATGGAAATATACTTACTGCACTTAGTTTAAATATTTTATCTCATAAGTAAAATATTAGAACATGTAAATGACTGTCTATCTCTCTCTCTTTCTTAAAGTAGATTTCATTTCTTGTAAAGTTTAGTGTCTTTAAAATAAAAATGCCTAATATATTAATTTCTTAAGCAAATGCAAATAATTAAATATACTTGTAGCAAGTCTGAGCAAAGCCAAAATCCTACAGCTGTTCTGCAGGCTTTGAAGTATTATGTACATTCCATTAAGAAAAAACCAGGTGAAGTTAAATTTATTACAACAGCAAAGACTGCAGATGAAGAATCACAAGAAATAGAGGATTCTATTGCAGGTAATAATTTTAAGATGGAGTCATCTCATTGCAACTGAAAATTTTGTTATGCTCTTTCTGTTTTTGGCAAGAATACAGATTTCTTTCTATTTTCCCTAGAAACAGATGGAAATGTGCCAATTTCTGAAAATACAGTAGTATCTGAATTTACAGATGGAATCCTTGAAGAAAAAGAGGTATTAATGAAGTGTATTTTATGTATTTTAGATAAATAAGATGTGCATCTTTAAAATTATTAAATATTTTGTTAAGATCAGAGTATAATGAACTCTTATCTAAGATACATGGTCGAGAGTAATTTCGGTCTTCTGTAGAAGTCAGTATCCTAGGAAGAATGACTATCAATGATGGCAATTGTCATAATTTGCATAATAAATTTACTGTGTTTGAAGCTCTAATCTAAAAGCCAGTTAAAGAAAGATACTGAAGTGGAATTGTGTTGCTTCAGATTACTGATATCATAATTTTAATCAAATTATATAGGAGAGACTTGTTTAATACTTAATTTTATCAAAAGTGACTAATATTTTTAAATGCAGAAAACAAGTCTTATATGTAAGGTGTAAAAATTACAAAAATCTTCCATCGTGATCTTTGGTTAGTAATTTTGAACATATTCACTGTTTGTAGAATGATATTTGCAAACTTGATTTTCTCTTTTGATTAATTACTTTGCTTCTAACAGTTTAAACTTCATAAGTAAATCAACAGTCATATTATTTCTAAAATTATAATTTTGTTTTAATATGTTTAACAGGATTTACGACTAGAAAAAATATTATTCCCATGATGTAAGATTTTTAATTTGCACTCTATTCCATTTCCAGTTTAACCATACTGGGCATTTTTTAAACATCTCTGTCATAATGATTTGTAACATGACTGTCACTTTGACACACAGCTTGTCTGTCACTTTTTCTTTCACGTTTTTAGTACTTTGCACCTTGAAATATCACTGATTTAGTGAATACTGAGCAATTAACTAAGACCTTTCTTCTTATTGACATTATAAATGTTCTTGAAATCCTAAATTTTTGTTAGCTATGAGAACAATCTATGATATCAGTCTGCATGTATAGGGAATGGAAAAATTAGTTAAAAAGGTTAAAGAACAAAGTTTGAGAATCCTTCCTAAAGTATAATATAACATAGTTTGAGAAGCCTTCCTAAAGTATAGTATAAGGGAAAAAGTGTATTTTCCCTCTTCATTTATATATTTTGAAATTCAGATCTAATATTTTGACATTTTGTTTGAATCTGTATCCCCTTATTTAACCTTAGAAATTCATTTCTAACAGTTTTTATTGTCTATATAAAATAATAAGATGTATTTAAAATAATTTTATAAATAAATAATTTCATAAAATAAGAATTTACTGTAGTCTTTCGAATATACTAAATGCTTGTTATCTGTAGTCAAAAGGAAGATGATAGAAATTATAGAATTTAACTTGTTTTGCTTGAATGCAGAAAACCAAATGAAGTTTTGCTTGCTCATTGGATTTACAATCTGTAAAGGAAAAAGACAAGGTCCACATGCCAGTTTTTTGTTTTTCAAGGGTTTAGAAAAATGCCAGCTTACAGCATGATATTTAGTAATGAATTCAAGAATCGTTTTTCTCCAAAAGTTGCAGTTTACTTAAGATGTGGAAACATCTCTAGAAGTTCCTTTATTAATTTATAATACTACAAACCACACCCAGTCTTTGAAACTAAATCATTCAGATGCTGTATGTCATGTTTTTGACTATCAGATACAGCCTTACTTCTATAATTATATAGCTCTTCATAGATCTGGTGGTGATTGCAGTTATGAAGCACTAATCACATTGGAAAAACTTTGTTGCCTATAAGCCAATCAGGATTGATCGTGGCATAGAACTGGATAAGTTCTGACACTGCATACTGTCTTATTAATATCAAGGAACTGATTATGGGTAGTTGCTATTAACCTTCTACAATAAATGTTTCTTGGATGAAGCTGTTCAAGCATGTTAGGCAGGTAATGAGTACGAAGTAACAAACAACAGATCTATGGATATGAATGCAACTGGCTTGCAATTGAAAGATTATATTTACTCTGTCAAATAATTATCAGCTATAAATATTTTTAATAAGCCTTGTGGGCTGATTTTTAAAATTAATTTATGAATTGTAGAAATTTAATTATATGAAATTAACTTTCTTTCATTACTTACATTATTAAAAAATTTTACATTTTCTTACATTATTAAAAAATTTTATGTTAAATTTATATGGTTTACATCTGGACTAAAACATATTATAGATATTGTTATCAGAAAAAAATTGTCAACAATCAGTGGGAAAATATTCAATAAAAAGTTAGTTGTAGATGTTATCTTACACCATTCAACAGTATTTTTGTGCAACTGGGTTAGTCTTGTTTACGATTCTTGTTTTTAACTGTGGATTGAACCTTAAATGCTATCCAGTCATTTAATCATTTTAGTGTAATGTATTTTTCATATAATAGCTCTAAACTTTCAAATTTCGGCTAATAATCTTCTCAAATATTCAGTTTAACCTCTTCATCAAACGTAACGCGTTTAGCACATTCAAGTGAAACTTCCGCAGGGCGGCCGTAACGCGCTTCAAGCGTTCTTGTGCATTTTAAAACTTTTAAATGTTTAAAACACTTTCTAAATGTTTACTTATTTGAGTTTTTATTTTTGTTTGTTCTAATACCTCCTAGAGGGTGGCACTGATCAGGCATTCTATTTCTAATCGAATTTGCTCCGGGTTTTATGAATATTCGCGTCATTTTACATAAGATACAAGACAGTGAGAGATGGCTTAAACGTCTACTCAGCAGAAAAAGAGAAAAAATAAGGTTGTGAATTCGAAAGACAAGAAGGATATATGTTTGATGAGTACAGTCCATAATAACTCGATGCTCGATGATTGATGTTGGAAAAGAATTGTAAAATAATAATAATAATAATAATAATAATTATAAAAGATTACAACAATAAAATGGGAGGAGTGGACTGCCTGGATCAGATGTTATCAAATTATCCTGCTGTTAGAAATAAGCAGAGATATTATTATTTTTTTCCATTATGCTTTATTTCCTTATAATTTTACTTAATATTCATTGACATTCATCCACTACGAAAGTTATGTATGGAAAGTTATGATGTACAGAGAAAACAACATTACACACTATGAAAAACAGACGGCCGCCGGGGGGGGATTTTTGCGGACAGGGGAGGACGGTGAAAGGGTTAAACACCTTTATTTTTTATAATATAATTGTATATAACTGTGATTCAAATAAATTAAATTAATAACTAAAATTATAATTGTGTATAACTATCATTAAAATGTTGAATTTCATGTGTCTAGAAAGTATTGAAGAGAATTCTTTTATTTTCTGATTTACAGACTGATGATGAAATTGATAAGGTTACCACTGATCTAGCGTATCTGAATGCCCTTGAAGCTCCCCAAATTCCTCCTGTTTTAAGGAGACGTCCTGAAAGAAAGAAATTGACTGATGAAGAAGTGATGGCTAAATTAAGTAATTTTTACTTAAATAATTCTATAATGATTATTACAGATTTCTTCTTTTTTGAAAAAAAAAAAAAAAAGAGTATTATATTGAAGATAATAAGCATAGTTATTTTACAGTGAAACTACATAAATTGTAATAAAAGTATATATGTTAGTGATGCATTACAAAATAACAATGCTTAGCATTCCCTCCCTAAAAGGAAACTGTGCTTGCTATTCTATGATGTCTTTCATTTGTTTCTTGCTATTAAAATGCCATTGAGATTAAATATTATGAGAGTAGATCCAAGTATTTTGCGAATCTACGAAGTTGAGCTAAGTAAAGCATTCATCACTATATAATAATTTTTGCCATTTAAAAAAATTATAATATATTTAGTATAGTTTCCTCTTTTTGAAAGCTTGTTCTTCAATATATTTTTGTAAAATGTCTTTCTGTGGCAATATCACCAATTTTATTGAAGAATACTTTGAGAATAAGTATGGCTTCTGTAGCTCCTTAAAATGCTGCATTGCATTTCTGTAGTTGCAGTTAATTTTTTTTTTTTTTTTTTTTTTTTTTTATTATTATTATTATTACTGCTGTCTGAGAATATCAATTTAAAATTTTTTTTTAAGCATTTCAAGAAAAACAAAGTATAATTTTCAGTTTTGATGAATGCATGATAGGTAAGATCATATTACATTGCTCAGTTCAATTTAAATTAATCGTTAAAAAATAATTATAATCATTAACAAGATTTTGTAATGTTATTTTAAACCATAAGTGTTGTAAATAAAATAGCTTTCTAATAGCAGCCTAGAAATGGTGAATTTCAAAATTTCTGATTTGTGTCCAGTATCATTTGCATTCACAATAAAATGGAATTATTATAAGCTCATAAGATTCATTACTTCCTCTTACCCTGAATTTCAAAATTGTCAAGCATAACATCAGCTTTGAACAGAGTTCTGTCTGGCAGCTCAATGAAAGAGCTTGAATAGGATCAAAGAACCCATTAACATTTTTGGGGGTTCATTAATCATGTGCACCATATGGTGTCTTAAGATATGCTTATTGTATCCTCATTCTGCTAAAGTTGGATGTCATATATGTCTCACATAGCATTTGTTAAGAACACAGAGAAAAGCAGAAGTGAAAATGAAAGAAAAATAATGTAAATACATTTTCCTCTATGCACGAAATATGGATCATAATATCCAAAACTTGGGTGATTTAGATTAGTAATTTTTTCAGCAAAACTTACAGAAATTCTGGAAAACATATAAAAAATACAATAAAAAGTTTCAATCAAAAGTATCCATGAAGCTTGTTGTATCCAATTTTCATACTCATGGAGGTTCATTATAACAGTATAAAATAACACTTTATAGGAAACTGGATTCGATCAAAATGTTTGTTTGTTATGTATCCATAAAGTTTTTTTATATCCAATTTTCATACTCATAGAGGTTCATTATAAGAGTATAAAATAACAGTTTATAGGAAACTGGATGGGACCAAAATATTTGTTTGTTATCAGATGGGTTTGTTATATCAAGATTTGACTGTACATATTTTTACTGTTTTGATAATCTTCTGCTTTATACTATTTTACATTAAAAAAGAAAGAGAGAGAAACCAAAAACTAACGTAGGACTGTTTAGAAGTTAAATTTGCTTTGAGAAAATTTCATTTTATTCAATAGTAAAGGTTTTAGTGTATGAGACTGGCAACAGTACGTATTTGAGAAGAAAAAAGAAATCTTTATATAGAGTATCATTTTCTTTTATTTAACCCTCTTAAGTGATACAGCTTTTTAAATTGCTCATGAAGGCCTGTATTTAAACAACATGTATTACCTAAATTTGCATAATTATTATTAGTCTGTGTTTCATAAATTTAAACTCATTATGATGATATTTACATCATTAAAGAAAATAAGAAAGCAAAATACTTTAAATTATAAACTAATATATATATAACTAGCTTTACCTGCGGATTCACTCATGTTGATGTCCTTAAATAAGTTTCAACTCCTCATGAATTTTAAAAATACACTCCGCATAAAATTTCAAAATGAAGAACATTTGAGCGCCTTAAATGATAAAACAAAATTTTTTATTGCACACAGTAAAATGTAAATGCAATTTGTCAAGCAACAATAGCAGAAATATATAACACGAATGAATAGATCTTTAAAAAAATACAAAACAAAACATTAAATATATCACAAAAGTCAAAAATTTTGATAATAGTTTTAAGTCATTAAGTTAATTAGATGTTATTAATTTAAAAATGATTTTCCACGTGTAAATCCGTAAACTTTGACCTTTTTGCCAACCCAACGGTCGACCGGATACCATCTCCTCCCCTCCGTTGCTTTCGAATCACAGCCTGTCAACAAAGAGTTAACAATAGCAAGCAGAGTATTGTTTCATCTATGATTAAGCTGGAAATAATTAAGTAACAAAAACAGTTACGCCACCATTATTCCTATCATTCAGAGAGTGACACAAGTTTATAAATTTCCAGAAATTTGGATAATTAGATCAAAAGTTATAATTTTTATCACCAATTTATTGGACCCACACGGGAAGACTCATGAAAAAATCCCTAATGTTGCTATTGAGTCGCATTCAAATTAGTGTTTTCAGAGTTTTTAATTAATTCTCAGCTGTTTAAAGTCGTACGAAGATGAGAATGGTATCGATAGGTTCCGACAAATTTTTTAGATCAGCGGATATGTGTTTCCAAATTCAATTAATCGCCGTTCCATAGCTATTTGTGAAAGTAGAAATTGGCGCATAGCCAAATCCCTTTAATAGGGAAAAACCCAACAAAGTAAGTGAAAAATGTAGGGGAAAGGTAGTTTTTAATTAATATCTTGGCTTAGTTAAAGTCGTAGGAAGACATTTTATAGCTTTACTATTATATCAAAAATATTTCTTGAAAATTTCATGATGATCAGTTAAGTAATTAAGGCATGAAAGCATAACAAACAAACTTGCATTCACATTTATAATATTAGTAAGGATATACATGTGATAAAAAAAATCTCGTAACCAGATAAAGGTGGTCTTACCGCTGTACAGAAATAAAAAGATTTTAATGATAAATTATTTGTTTTTAATATTAAATTGTAATCTGAAGTTTTCTTCTTTAAATCTAGTTTGAATTCCATATCACGTTCATGAAACCATTATTTTTGCTTTTGATAGTATTGAGTGCAAGTAAATTTCCAGTGCTCAATGTAGTAGAAAATAGCAGGAATGAAAAGGAATCATTTATAAAAGTTCTCATTCTTGGCCTGTTTTTTAATGTATGTATGTATGTCATAAATAAATGTTAATTTCAAGAACATTTTTGTTTCCTAAACTGCGTGATATACAAATATATGTTTTATTATTTTTCAGTTAAATGATGATTATTTAATCTGTAAGTTAATATTAACTTTATGTCTGTCTGTAGTTCCCACTTGTTAATTTAATTACAAACTTTATTATTTATAACATTATAATCCTCCTATATGCTTTATACTAGAGTTTCAAATCATATGCTATCTATTCTTTTATTTCAAATTTTGGCTAATCTTTGGAATATAGTAACAGGTAGTTTGGCGACATTTTGGTAAGGCGATAAAGGTTAGGACTTTAGCAATGTATGTGGATAAAGTCAAGAGTGTGCGCAATGCCATTTTTTTGCAATTCTGGGATGTTTTTTTAAGTGAAAATAGGTCGACGTGTACATGGATGATACCGTGTATGTGCAATTCTTAAAAACGCGGCAAGCAGTTTGCGATTCTGCACTTTCTCCCAATTTCGCACCTAATCTTCATCATGATTAAGCACTTTTGTTCCATTAAAGTTCTAGCATAAGCGTAATTCGGCTATCAGATTTTTGGAAAAAAATGTTGAGTTTAAAAAAAAAAAAAAAAATCCTTTACTTCGTGAAAACAAAATGGCGTCCAAACAAAAACTAGCAGGTTGCTGTAGCAGGGTTGGTCGCCAAATTTTCGCCAAAAAATCGGCAAGTTACCATAATCCAAAGATTAACTCAAATTTTAATGTATGTGTTTTTCATGATAAAATCTTTTCCTTTTTTAGAAGCAATTGTATCACCTGGTGATCCTCAGAAGAAATATTCTCTTTTGAAGAAGATTGGTTCTGGGTGAGTACGACTTAAAATTACCATTTCAGTAGTTAATACTTACCTTAATACACTGAATATTATCAAAATATTTTTTCATTATAAATTTTATTAAAATATATATATAAAAAAGGGTAAAAAAGTATATCTAAACAACAGAATTTTACGAAGAACATGTTTACCTTGATTGAAAGTTAACTTCATGTTATATGGGTGCTTGTTGGAAGAACTATTGTTATTCAATAAATGTATTTTAGAGGAATTACAAACAAAGAAATTTATTAATTATCATGTGCATTTGTAATCAATGTAATGAAGCAATGGCATAAAAATGTCTCTTTTAATAAACAATATAGTACTGTATGAGGTGGATTTGTCTTTGTGTTCAAGAAATTGAACTTAAATTTTCTTTTCAATCATTTATTGCATAATGTAATATGTACAAGTTTCTGTTTTCTGAAATACAAATATTTACATAAACATTTTATGTGTTCAAACAGTATATCTGTTAGCATTCATATTATATTGGCAGCTTTTTATTCTATCACCAAAAAGCATTCTGAATACACAAGAAGGATTGTTATAACCTTTCAGTCCTTTGAAGCATTCGAAATGCCACTATAAACTTCAAAGTATTCCACGGTGGGGAAAGGAGAATAATTAAACATGTTAATTATTGACTGGTTCTGAGACAACTATAATTTTATTCATCAGATTTTATAAAAAGATCACAAATTATTTTGCAAAAATGCTAGTTAAGTAATTAACATGTTAAATAAAACAACCCATGTAGTAATTCATTTGGTGGATAAAAATTACAATTTTTATAGGCTTTTATATAAATTTCAATGATGAGATTGAATTTTTTTTATTTGGTAAAATGAAATTGATAGTGAAAATAAGTAAAATGCCTAAGTTATATTGCTATCGTATACGTTATGGTTACATTGATAAGCAACTCCATGATAGCTATCTTGCCAGTAACTAGTATTTGTGGCATGTGCTTCACGAGATAATAGAAGCAATGGAGAGCCATACTGACTGACCCATGTGTGTTACACAGCTCACCATATTGCTCATACAGATAGCAATAACATGATTTAGTGTCAGGCTACTTCATAGTTTGACACTCACCGTATCCATGGAGTATTTGTTGAACTATTGAAGAGTATTCATTGTACATTTTCCCTTTTAATGGAAATGTTGCTTAAGTGTTAAAAGAATTTTAAAGCAATGTATGAATAAAAATTATGACAAAACTTCATCTAAAAAATTACTAATCCAGTCATTAAAACATTTGTTAAATCCATACATTTTTCTGTTTTAATTGCACACTCCTTGATATATATAATGTACAATGTTCAATGCTGTCTACATAATATAGTATTACTGAATTGGAAAAATGTGCTTTTTATATTAAACATTTAAATGAAAAAAATATCTGTTACATCAATTAGATGCATTATTCTGTTAATATATGCCTTTTTTTTTTTTTTTTTTTTTTTTTTTTTTTTGTTGCTTTGTTATTATTTTGCTGTACTTTTTTTTTTTATTTTGAAAGACTTATTTTACTAAAACAATATTTTACCTTTTGTCTTATCATTTAGAGAAAAATAATTATAGAGAAATCTTTTCATTATTTTCAGTACATGTTCCAAATTCAGACAGAAAATAAGAGCATTAGTTTGAAATTGTAGTTTAATTTTGAAATTCTTCACAAATAGACCTATAATTAATTCATAAATATGATATCAGATTGGTCTTTTATATCCTGAAAATTTTGCACTTGTTTTTATACATTTAGATGCCATATCCACTAGTGTGTGAAACTTATGCAACAAATTCATTTTGCAACATGCAACCATGAAATTGTTAAAAATGGCTTTTTGCCATCAGTGCAGTGAAAAGCCAACTCAGTAGAAAGTGACGGATATGCAGATATCAGCACTGTGGCATCAGAGGGTACATCAGGACATGAAAAACATGAGGAGTCAGCATGTGTAGTGCAAGGCAACTTAAAAAGAAAAAAGGAAGGCACATGTCCAAGCATTTTACTGCAAGTGAAAGTGTGATTATATGTGCAGTATGGCTGCACGAAAACAAAAGGATGCCTTTCTTACATATGGTAGAATGATTGGCAAGTTTGAGTAGGGACATAGTTTGATGTCAGTCACTCAAGAGTTTGAAATTGTTAAAAGTGTTGTTTTTCATAAACTTGGAAAACCATTCAAAAAAACAGCTACAGCTATAAGAAAGGGGTCAGCCTTTCTTACAATAGTGTTAAAAACAGTGGCGATTGATGACTGATATACTATCACTCTGCAGATGAAAAAAAATGATTGAAACAAGACATCGGCAACATTTCTCAGCACGGCAATTGGACGACAGGTGTCCCAGTTTACTTTGGCCACACGACTTCATAAATGTGGCCAATTCGCGTGCTGTACTGAATGCTGCGTACCATTAACAGTTGTCCATTGGCAGCAGCCATCGGCAGTGATGTAGAGAACACAAAGACTGGACACCTCATCAGTGGACTCAACGTCATCTCTATAAGAGTCATTTTAGTCTGAAGTAATTCTTGGCACCATTTGGAGAGAAGTAGACACATGCTTTCATTCCACTAATATAGAGAAAGGAAGTGTTGGGGTAGTCCTGTTGTGCTGTTATGGGGAGGCATTATGATGAACGGGCTGGCAGAGTACCATATTTTTGACAGAGGTTCACTTACCAGTGATCATTATTATAAAGTTATCCACTCTCCATGTGCATCTTTTTCTGGGTGCCATTAGTCCTGACTTTGTTTTTATGGATGGCAATGCACAGAACACATGCTGCTGAGGAGCTCCTGAAAAGTGAAGATATCCTCAGAAGAATGGATTGGCCAGTTTGCTCACCTGATTAAATTCCATTGAACTTGTATAGGGAATTTTAGGGAGATGCCTAGTGGCATGATCACACCCTTCAGAGAACATCAGTCAAATGTCCCTTGAAGAATAGGAATTCTTACCCCAAGAATTATTAACTAATCTGGTATTGAGTTTCGACAGATTATGCAATGCAGCCATTGCATTTAGGGCTGGTCATATTCCATACTATGGTTCCTTGGCTTTGTTCTACCTCTTGGCTGGACAGTTTTTTGTGTCAACAACATTCTGTCAATAAAGGTTTTTCCTGTTGAATCTATGCTGTCACTTAAGTCACTTAAGTTTCACATACTGGTATATTATCAAGACAGTATGACTGATTGTTTACAGATAATTTTGAGAGATGTCATCAGATGTATTTAAAATTTGTTAAACATATGACCATGATTAATTACATTATAATTGTATGCAAAATTATTTTTATATGCATAAAACATTATTCGTAAAAAAAAACTCTTGAATAAAATTAAATGAATATATTTAAGAGGATACATAGCATCATAACACATAAATGCACACTATATGAAACAAAAACAGTATAACTTCTCTAAGGTGATTTCTGTATAGGGTTGAGTCACATTAATATAACCATTTCCTACATTTGACATCAGCCCTAAGTGAGCAGTGACATAAGGCATGTTTCAATTGCAGAGTTGGTGAGTAGTTTATTATAGGCATTTGAGAAACATTTCAGTTGCTGTTTTCAGAAATATGCAGAGTGATTTGGCAAACTTACAAAAAGGAATGATTATTGGCTTTCGGGACAAGAGTGGCAGCATTTCAGGCAATGCACAGTTTGTGAACTGTTCATGTGCTGCTGTAGTAAAAGTATAATATGAATAGCAAAATGGCACTACATAAAATAAGTGATGTGAAAACTGCTTGTGGCTGTGGCTACAGTGGAGCAACTTTCTGTTCAAATGAATTTGCGTTATCACAATTGCTCATGACACTGAAAATGTTAAATTCTAGCATGATAAATGGGAAAAGGAGAGGGGGAAATAAAGGTTAATAAAGTTCTAAGATGTGGGCTTTTACGTTCTATTTAAAATTCTTCTTTAACCCCTTACTCGTCGTGCCCATGTCTCGCATGGGCAACTAATACGAATAAATTTTATCACACCTGTATCTCACACGGGCTCTGCTTTTGCAAAAAAAAGGTCAAGGAATACCAATTTTTATCGTGCCTGTATCAATTATATTTACACAGATGGTAGCATAATACTTGTAAGTTGATTAGATAAAGGTAGTATGCAGATTTAGAATATTTTCCCCATTAGAACATATTTTGAAAGGATGCAGTTTCATTGCTCATTGCTTTTCGTGTTTAGTGTTTGTAAAATGAGTAGTTCAAGTGAACAAGAGGATTTAAATTTTGAAGAATCGGAAAGTGATTCAGAAAGCAGCTTTTTTTCAGGTGTTTCTGATTCTGAAGATGGTAACGATCCCGCTCAACTTCTACCAGGGCGCCAATGGAACCAAATTATGTCGGATGTCCCAGATATTTGTCCTCCACATTTTCAGTTCAAATTGTTGCCTGAAGTGAATATTTCATTTCAAGCCAGTGCAGGCGTTTTACAATATTATGAACATTTTATAAATGATGAAATAGTGGATGTAATTGTGAAAGAGACTAATCGTTATGCTGAGCAATCAGGTAATGTTGTTGGGAAAAGGAAACTGAAAGGTAGAAGAGAATGGAAACCTGTATTGGCACATGAAATCCATTTGTTCCTTGCACTTTCAGTTTTACAAGGTATTGTAAAAAAACCTGAAGAAAGCATGTTAAGAAAACATCAGTAGATACTTTTTTCCATAAGATAATGTCATATAATCGATACTGTGAAATAAAAAAATACTTGCATTTTGTGAACAATGATTCTTATGATTAAAAAAAAAAAAAATCATCCTAACCTGAAACTCTACAAAATTTGGCCTAATTGTGAGCATCAGAATAAAGTATATCAGAAAACAATTACTCGAGAAAGAGATATTACCATAGATGAAATGCTGATGTTGTATAAAGGACGTTTATCATGGCGCTAGTATGTACCCTTGAAAAAAGCACAATTTGGTATCAAAACATACATGCTAAGCGAATCTAGTTCTGGTTTTATATAGTCATTTATCATATATACCAGGAAAAGTACTTTGTTTCATCTTAAATTCTGATCTCTCTCGGTACCTTCACAAGTTGTTATGACTCTGATGATGGCATTATTGAAACAAGGTTACTGCATCACCTTAGATAACTACTATACGTCACCAGAATTATGTGATATCCTTTTGACAACAGATGTGGTTGGAACTGTTATACAAAACAAAAAAGATTTACCTTTAGCATTGAAAAATAAAAAATTAAAAACTGACAAAGTTATATCATTTAGATGCAGCAAAATCCTCGCTCTCAAATGGAAGGACAAAAAGGAAGTAACAATGTTATCATCTCTTCATGATTCTGAAACTGTCAAAGTAATGACCCAAAGTAAAAAACTGAAAACAAAACCAAAGGTAGTAATTTACTACAATAATACAGTGGGAGGTTTGGATCTTGTAGATCAGTATCTTTCTAGTTATCAAGTAGCAAGAAATGGTGGGGGAAAATATTATAAAAAATATTCTTTCACCTTTTAGACCAAGCCGTTTTCAATGCTTTTCAAGTTTATAAAAAAGTAGGTGGAGAAAAGTCACATTTAAAGTTTAGACTGGATTTAATTGATGAAATAATTGACAAATACCATACTTTTATCAATTTTTCATTTATTTGAATGACAATTTTTGAAGCCTACATAACCTACTGAAAAAAAGAAAACACTTCCAGAGAATGTAAAGTGTGTTCATCAAAGAAGAATGCAAATGGAAAATGAATTAAGAGAGAAACAAGGTATTATTGTAAAGATTGTAATGTAGGACTGTGCATACCATGTTTCAAACTTTACCATACCCAGAAAAATTATTAATTTTTTGAAAAAATATTACAGCTGTTATTGATGTTAAATAAAAGCCAAAGCCTCACCATTTGCAGTTAATAGTGTATGTTATTTAAATGTACGTGATTTTTCTCTCTCCAAAATTTACGTGTAATCTTAAAGGCCTGTATTAAAGCTTTTCTGCCAGCTTGGGTGTAAGAGGAAAGCCAAATATAAAGTAAAACAAGTTAATAAAAAATTGTACATATTTAAAAAACTGTTAAATTTAACGAAAAATAGTGTTTATTATGTGAGTTTATTTTAAATTTCTTAAGCATTAAAAACATTAATAAAAAATTGATGATTTTTGAATAAATTTTGTCAAAATTTTGCGACAAGTAAGGTGTTAATAAAAGCTATACTATCTCATGGTTTGATGGTCATTTTTTATACGAATATAATTTGAAATGAAAAATGTTGTATGTTGTAACAATAACTAATATTCTGTAACAAATGATTAAATAAAATTTTGTTTGTAATGTAAAGTAAAATTTTTGCAGGGCATCAGGTATGGTTTATACTGCTTTAGATAAATCAAGTGGAGAAAAAGTTGCAATAAAGACCATGGATATAGATCAGCAACCCCAAAAAGAGTTGATAATAACAGAAATTAAAGTGATGCAACAAAATAAGTATGTTTCAGTTTATTGGATTATTCATTATTTGCATTTCCTGCAAAGTACATTTGGAATCTTAATTAAATGATTTTTATAAATAAATGGTAGATATCTGACTGACTGTGATAAAGCATGGAAGAATTATCTGTTATTTGCTGATATCTTCCCGAAAAACTTTCTGAAGGCCCATAGTATGTAGTTGCATTATAAATAAAATGATCATAGTTCTTTGGTTTACTTGGTTATGGCAAAGCATACAAAGGCCGACTACTTTTTTATTTGGCTACTGTGGGATCATAGAAATTGAATTGGTTATATATATATCACAATTAGCATGGAAGATATACATTTTACTATATTTTTCCTTTTTATTACGCACTTTTTAATACCATTTTACGACATTATTATTAATGTCGTGGCTTTTCATATGTTTTACTAAGAAAATTGGGATTAAAAAAAAAAAAAAAAAAAAAATTCCTCAACAAGTTTTTTGAGGTGAAGGGGGTTCTGCTGTAGTATTTCTGCATATACTGAGTCATATAAAATGTCTTCACATTTTTTTGCCACTTACTAATATAATACGCTTTAGTGCAGGTTAGTCATAATTTTATCGTGCAAAATACGGTTCAGTAAAGTCACTCAATATGTGAACACATCAGCACATGCACTAAAACTATATACAAAATTTATTTACAAAAATTTTAACTATTCTAAATTACTCTAAAACAAGAGTTCAAATCATTGTTACCGGGTCAGTCGGTACTTGCTACAGTTCTTCAGAATAGAGTGCAACTACAGGGTTACCAAAAAGTACAAAGTCTAGTTAGGTGCTTCAGCGCTAACTAACGGCAGTCACACCACCACTAGATAGTGTTGGTGTCTATATATCTGCCAACACTCACCTGATTGTCTCAAATAAACATGTGCTTAAAAAGTGACATTCAGCTTCCATTGTTTGTGAAAATAGTTTTCTAACTCGTTGATCATGTAAAAAATTATATTGATTTTAAAATGAGTCAAATATCGAAGAAATACACTACATGATGCTTTTTTACTATAAAAAATTTACCTTTACTATAATAAAAGGTAAAAATGTTGCAAAAACATGCGAAAAATTTGGGAAGTGTATGATGAGAATGCTGTGAGTGAACGAAGTACCTAGGAGAGGTTTCCTCGAATCCATTCTGGAAATTTTGGTCAAAGATGCAACTCGCTTTGGTTGGCCAGTCACTGAAAATGGTCAATCAAATTTTGCAACTGGTGGAGCAAGACCAGCATGCAAGCTGTCAGGATATACCAGGGGCACTAAACATCAACCACATGACAGTTTGGAAACATTTGAAAACAGCAATTTACAAAAAGAAGCTTGATGTTTGGGTGCCACATGAATTATCGCAAAGAAATTTGATTGACCGAATTACCATCAGTGAAATGCAACGAAATCAATGCATTTTTGAATTGAATCATTATACAGTGGCTCTCGAAAGTGTTTGTACACTTATGATTTTCATTGAAATAGGGCTCTATTTATTAATTAAAAGTAAACTTTCTGAATGAGATTTTAATAATAAGATCTATAATTTATTCGTAACAAAATTGCATGAAATATTTTTAAAATATTGTGAAGCTTTATTTTTAAGAAATTATTAATAAAAAAATGACAAACATTTTATCTCGCAAAAGTCTTCGTACACTTCAAAAAAATGTTGGCATATTAGTAAATATTTTCATTTTTCGTTAAATGAATATTTAGTAGGATATCCTTTAGCATCCACAACAGCTTTTAAACGTCTGGAATAGATTTTACTACTTTTTTTGTAAATTCTGTATCGATGTTCATCCATTCTTTCATCATGACTGTTTTCAGTTCTCTTTTCGTTTCGATGTCGTGTTTTCGCACTTTAACCTCCAGTTCTTTCCAAATGTGTTCTATGGAGTTTAAAATCTGGCAACTGAGGTGGTGTTTTCAAAACTTGTGGACAATTATAGAGACACCACAGGCAAAAGTTGCGAGCCGTATGCTTAGGATTGTTATCATGATTAAAAATAAAGTTGTTTCCAGTACCCAAAGTTTGGGCTGATAATTTTAATCCTCCGAGCATTACGGGTTTAGCTCTAAAATTTCAAAGTTCCTCAAAATGTCATGAATAAGTGGTATTTTCTTGATTTTAATTAATAAATGACTCTCTCATTTTGTACTTTGATTCCTTTTCTTCCAATAAACCGAAAGGTTTGGATGTATAATTACAGATACATTAAAAACTAGCAGAAATTTTCATGTATAATGAATATAGAAGGCAGCCTTCTATGCGAAATTTTCCGGCCGTAATGCTGGGAGGGTTAAATTGTCTCTAAAAATGTTTAAATAAAGAGAATGATTCATTATGCCATCAATAAATACCAAATTACCTAATCCTGATGCACCCCCACACAAGCCTCTACCACCTGTTCCAACTAAGTTCTTAGAATAATGTTCCTCATTTTTTCTTCTTCTTCATACAGTTATATATACGGAACCAAAAATGTTAAATTTGCTTTCGTCAGCAAATAGGACATTATTCAATACGTATCTGGTGTATTTATCATTGATTTTAAGAATGAAAGTCTAAGCTTTCTGTTTTTCTCACTAACAAAAAATTGTTTACGGGCAGAACGGCCATGTAATCCAGCTTCTGTGAAAACTCATTGAACAGTTTCAGGTGAAATTGCAGAAACTTTGCATTAAATTCTACAGAAACTTTTACAGCACTGAAACATGGTTTTTTTACAAATTTTCTAATAATAAATCTCTCATCACGTTTAGTTAACTTTCTCAGTTGAATTTTTCTTGCCTTGTTTTCAATCTGATTTTCTTCTTTGAAGCGTTTTATCACATACTTCACCGTAGAATGGGATAAATTAACTAATTTAGCTATATTTCGAATTGATTTACCACTACTTTGGTGAAAAATTATAAATTTTCAAATGCTGTTTGTAATTTCTTTATGACTGCGACGAATTTTTCAATAATAAATAGAATATTATGAAGTTAAACAATAAAAAATTAAAGTATACGATTTTTTAAATGCCACCACAATGCAAAAAATTTTAAAAAGCGGCAAACTATAATCCTAATTTTGATTTTATCCAAAAATATTTCAGTGAACGAAAACTTTTGTGAGATAAAATGTTTATCATTTTTGTATTATTAATTTCTTAAAAATAAAGTTTCGCTATATTATTTTAAAAAATTGTCATGTAATTTTGTTACAAATAGATTATAGATCTTATTATTAAAATCTCTTTCAGAAAGTTTACTTTTAATTAATGGATAGTCCTTTTTCAATGAAAATCATAAGTGTACGAATACTTTTGGGTATGAGAATAACAAATGCAAGCAATCATGGTCAAAGGCTAGTGATCTAAACATGACTTCAAAGCCTGGATTATTGCCAAACAAGGTTATGTTGAGTGTTTGGTGGGATTGGAAGGGAATTGTCCATTATGAGCTGCTGCAACCTGGTGAAACCATCAATTTGGCCCTGTACTGTGTACAACTCGACCGTTTGAATGAAGCAATCTAGAAAGAGCGACAAGAATTGGCCAACAGAAATGGAGTTGTGTTCCATCATGACAGTGCATGGCCACACACATCTTTGCTGGCTTGGAACAAATTGACAGAGTTTGGTTGGGAAGTTTTGATGCATCCACCATACAGCCTGGACCTTGCACTGTCTGACTACCATCAACTTTTTCAACAATAAACGACAGAAGTACTACACCAATACAATTATGAAGCTACCTGAAAAATAGCAAAAGTTCATAGATAATAATGGCCAATATGTACTTGATTAAAATATTGATTTTCAGTAAAGAAAATTTTTGTTCAAAAATGTACCAAAAAACTGCAGAGACTTTTTATGTAGCCCAATATTTTGTAGTGCTGTGAAAAATAATTTAAGCATTATACTTTGTTACACATTCATATATTTTGTTTAGATTTATATAGTCAGAAAAATAAATTAATTTTTTAATGGATCTGCTTATTTATTTCTGATTCTGTTTATTTCTTTTCTTAAAAAAATGCTGGGAGTTAAGCCAGATTTTCTTATGAGTCATTAAATCATGACAGGTAACTACACTGAAGTCATACTAAAGCAGATGAACTGTACTTATAAAGGAAGATTTTTGCTCACCTTCTTTTACTATTATGATTGTACCCTTAAAATCAGAATAATGGGAGGATAGAATTAGGACAGTTATTAAGATTAAGCTCCTTTCATGATTGCTTGTAAATAAATAAATACTTTGTGTTAACAAAAAAGCATATTTTTTGTTAGTTTAATCTGTGTCATCAAAAACGTTGTGGATGCTTGTTATCATAATTGTTGCCGAGAGAATTTAACATCATTCGCAAATTTAAAATGTATTATAGACATTGTGGATGCTTGTTATCATAATTGTTGCCGAGAGAATTTAACATCATTCGCAAATTTAAAATGTATTATGAATTTAGTATTAAATCTAACACTTATTTCATTCTACTTTATGAGTTTTTAATATAGTTTTTTTGTTTGTTTCAAATTTCATTGCCAGAAGGGAGTTCTTTTTTTAATTTTTTTTTAAATTTCTATTATAGGCATCCAAATCTGGTTAATTTTGTTGAAAGTTATTTAGTAGATGGTTCCTTGTGGGTAGTAATGGAATATCTAGAAGGTGGACCTCTAACAGATGTTGTTACTGAAGTATTCATGCAAGAAAATCAGATAGCTTCTGTGTGCCGAGAAACGCTTCGGGCCATTGCATTCTTACATTCTAAAGGCATTATTCATCGTGATATAAAGAGTGATAATGTCTTGCTTGGAATGGATGGTTCTGTTAAAGTTACTGATTTTGGCTTCTGTGCACAGATTTCTCCAGAAGAAAAAAGGCAAACTGTTGTTGGAACACCATATTGGATGGCTCCAGAAGTTGTCACCCGCAAGCAGTATGGCAATAAAATTGACATATGGAGTTTAGGTATTATGGTTATTGAAATGATTGAAGGAGAGCCACCATATTTGAATGAGACTCCTCTGAAAGCATTATATTTAATTGCTACAAATGGAAAACCCAACATAAAAAATAAAGAAAAACTGTCCGTTGAATTACGTGATTTCCTTGACAAGTGCCTTGAAGTTGATGTTGAAAAAAGAGCAACAGCTGAGGAACTTTTAATGCATCCTTTTATGTGTAAAGCAGAGAATCTTTCTACAATAACCCCTCTGATCAGAGCAGCAAGGGTTCTTAAAAAATGAGGTTGTTGATAGTGTATTAATTTGTTTCAGAATCTATGCCTTTTTCCTACTTCATCTGTTAATATGTTGTTATTCATATGACCTAGTCAGAGGAAAAGTATTTTATTATTGCATGTTTATATTGTGATGTACTTAAAATGTTTGTGGATTTATTTTTGAAAAAAACTATTTTAATTGTTTTAGATATCAGCCTCAGTCTGCTAGAAATGTAATTGAGGTATATTTAACTTTTATAGTTTTATAATAAGAGAACTTTTTAAAAAAGAGTGACAAATATTATATAGTATGTAAAATTTTATATATCCTCTTTGCATTTAAAATCATTCAAAATATTTTGGAGGCCTTTTTTTTATTTGTATAAATCTGTATTCATATGATATTAATAAATTTTATTCTGTACTGTGAGGATATTTACACAGTCATGGCTGTATACTATTGCATTTATACATATTACAGTTACTATGTCTGCTAATTAGATATTCATGATTTATCATAACCAGTAAAATTGAAAATTAAAGAAATAAAAAGTTCATAAAATATGTGTGTTGAGCAGGAATAGGTGTAATTTATGGAAATATAGTACTCAAAACCAGTTATCCAGTGACAATTCTATCTGAGAGTATTAAATATTGCATTCTTAGTTCAAACAAGTGTTTTATTACTTCAACAACAAAAATGATGCTTTATTATCAATACTTTCCAAGAGCGTTGACACAAAGCATGAATTTTATTATTCTGTCATCTGAAGAAACTGAGTAACACTATGCAGTAAAGCAACATTTTTTTTTTTTTTTTTTTTTCATTACTGCATCACTATTGAGGATTAGGCTAAAACACTGGGAACTTATACAGAAAAATTTTGATGATTGGCATACAGCACAATCGAGGGTTTTGTAAATTTACTGATCATGCTTTTCCGAGTGTTGTTAACATCTTTTCCTTTCCAATTATTAAATTAAATCTGGATTCTTTGCACATGCGCAATTAACTGAAGTACATTCATGCTGTAGGAATTATTTGATCAAATTTCATTCAGTACAAAAGTAATCACATACAAAAAGAAAATAAATAAATACATAAAAAAAAAAAAAAAAAAGGTCAGTGCAAGGAGAAAATGTGGTGGAGAGAAAAAATGGTGAAGTTTTTTGATAAAGAACTCTTTTTGTAAAAATGCATCAAAAAATTTATATATCTACTAATGAAATTACTATTTAAGTAATTCGCTCTGAAACAAGGGGAGGATTAATAAATTAAAAATTATACTAATAACTTCAGCACTGTTGATTTTCTTAAACTGAATTCCTACCTAATTCTGCTGTTATGTTCTATGAAGATGCAGTTAGATCAATAATGGTACAAAAAGTTTTAGAATTGAAATTTTTAATTTATTAAAAGAAAGGTTCTTAATCCCCCCTTTTTACCTTGTTTTCTGTTAACTCCAGAAAAGTCTTTAGAAGAGAGCTAATTGCAATTATATGATCCATATCTGCTGTCAACATGAACAGGCTTGCTTATTTTGCAGAATACTAACTTACCTGCTATGAAGTGTGTCTAAGTTGAAGCACAGTATTTGAAGATTCTGGAAAAATTAATTCTCAACACATGCCGAATAATTCCTGAATGAATTATCTAAATAAATTCAAGGCAATTTTAAGGCGCAACAGAATACACACTCAAAATTAGTGTTTTCGTCTAAAGCACAAAATTTGCAGATTCACAGTCCCTATTTACTAAAAAAAGAGAGTGTGGATATGGAAAATACTAAATACTGTCAATAATAAAATTTTGATAAATCTCCTTTTCCAATCAAAATATGTTATATTTTTTAGAAAAGTTTTTTCACGTTAAAAAAAGGGGTAAATTTTTTTTTTTTTTTTAAATTCATTGTGCTGAATTTGGGGGGGGGGGGTAATTTAAAATTGAGTGCATTACAGGCATTTGGTAATTAAGTGGATTTGGATTTTTAGAGTTCTTTAATGCTTTTATACTTAAGAGAAAATATATTGTAAATGTACAGTGTGACATATTCTGAATAATATTGTAACTATATAAAACATTGATATACTTTTAATACATGGGACACTATGTATAAAAGAAATTTCTTAATAATGAGCAGTTTTATTTTTATTCAAAGATTGCATTTTATATGTTGTTGTACGAAATTGCTGAACACTTGTAATTAATGCATTCACTGGGAATGACCAATACCCATTGGTCATACAGCCACCTCATTACCTGCATCACTAGAGATGAATGACTTAGTCCACGAAAGTGGAGAAGTTCCACCTTTTGATAGATCGATGAAGCTTCCACTGCTCCTCTCCTATCCCAAATCTCGAGAGAGGATTTTAGATTCACAAGTTTTTTAAGTGTCCCCATGTCACACAGCATGCAGTTATGAACATCCAAGCCTTTTCTAAGATTCGAATCTGAAGAAGATATGGCAGCCAGCCATGCTAACCACTATACCAATCAGGGTGGTGCATTTAATGTAGATTTAAATACTTTTTTAAAATGTAGATGGGAAAGTGCATGAAAATTCAATTTTATCGATGAGATGCAGTAACAAACAGTTTGTAAACCAATTTGTTGTTTTGTGGTTTTTATTTCTTGAATTTCTTTTCACTCATTCTGAATCAAAGAGGTAGTAGATACATCTTATCTTATTCATTGTTATTTAGTTTTCATGTTTTTTATGTTTATATTGTAAATATGATTTACAGCAGTGTTTCTCAACTGGATTTACTCCAAGGACCGGTAAAATATTTTGGTACATTCTCGTGGGCCGGTAAGTTTTAATAATTCGACACATTGGCACAATTTTGTGACATAAAAAAATCATCATGGATAATATTATTTTCTAAACTATAAACTATTGTTATTGTAATGTAGGTGTTGTTGTAATATCGGTTGTCGGCCAATGGCACTTCTGATTTTGGTCAGATAGCTTGATATTTCGTGGACTGGCAGTTAAGAAACACTGATTTAGAGTATCTAACTGCAATTTGCTAGAAGCTTATTCATCTATGGAGATTGTGTTTGCAAAATATTGAATATAACATAATCAAAATGAAGATAGCAGATAAATTTAGAAAAGTAACCTATATATATGTTAAATATTGTTCATTTTTATGCTTTACATTTCATTCCTATTTATACTTCTTTTTTAATAATTTGTCTGTGATCAACATTTTTACTTAGTAATTTTTTATTATTTTTATAGGTTTTTATCAATATAAAAAATAATGCAGAATAATTTGTATTAATCAAAGTCTTTTGTGTTAAAAGTCATGTCATTCCTTCATAAAATGTTAATACCTTGCTAAAGTTAAAAATACTCATTAAAATTTTATATGTGACTTAATCATAAAAGTGCTTCTTATATTAGAACTAACATATTTAGAATAATGTAATTTATGATATTCAAGTAATTATTTTATACCTTTGGTGTGATAATTTGTAACAGTGTTCCCTTCTTTTCATTATTGGGCAGAGAAGGAATGAACAAAATTTCAGATATTGATTTTGGCTATTTGTTGAGATGCATATCTTTAGTACTGATATATCTCATAGTAATCTTTGCATCTTACATAATTTTAAATAATGAATTTATTATTATTTTTTTATGTTTACTTTATTAACTAAATGAATTGCATCATCTAAGCAAGCATTTATTTTTGATTAAAAAAATGTTTTATCATACAAATTTTAAATTACATTTGCTGCGAGTCTTTTTGAAGAGGTGTTGTTATTTATTTTCATGTTGGTTAAAATACTAATGACACAAACAAAGACACCAGCAACTCGGCAAATATTGCTGTTGCACAAGACATAAAGTCTTTATTTTTCATACAACTGGCAAAGCCTGGTTATGAGATAAGATCTTTAATTTATTTTTCATACTGTATGTAGTTGCATAACAAACTGAAATGGTATAAAAACAATAAACAAACTTCTTAATAATTATATTCTTATTTTTTAATAACATGCCTAAATTTACATGCTATTTTCAATTTCTATACCCGATAATTTTTAAGAATATATGCTGCAATGTTGTAATTAATGAAATTTTTTTAATTTTAATGCCGTGCATTATACACCTCGGTACAGACTAATCATTATGTTTTCTATTTATATATTCCACTTGATGTTTGGATACAGGCATTACATGAAAATAGATATACTTAAAGGCAATTACTATATCTACCATGTATCAAATGATATAATTTATCTTAAGTTGTAATTCATCTTAAGTTACTTTCGGTATATTTCTAGACCAATATTGACATTTGATCCCCTCAATTAGGTTGTATTCACAATTTTTTTTTTAAATGCCAGTCTACATTTCTCAGTTTTCTAATAGATAAATCATCCCTTAAAGTGTCACTACTTTTTTAAATATTTCTTAAAATGGTATGTATTCTGTCATTTATTTAAAGCATTCATCGGAAAAACTCAGTATGAAATCAAATGCTTAGGAATAAACTAAAAAGTCTTTGAACCTTTGTAAAATGTTGTGCAGAATCTTGATGGATTTCCATTTTTAAGGATATTACCAGAAAACATATAGAACTTCATTTATATATAGCAAGAAAGATGTATTCATGTATGGTGTCTGATAAGTAGAGTATCACAGGGTTAATTGCCACTTTTAAAGACACTGGATAAGTTATGAAGGAAATAGAGTAACTTAGATGCAGGATAACTTAACTTTAATATAGGGATCAGTTACAAGTCATCGTTTACAAGAAAAAGATTAATGGCAAGAAAGAGCCATCATTTTTATCATCAAAAAAGTATGTTATTAAAGTGGCAGCATGAATTGAATATGTGTGTTGCAAACAAGGAGACATTGTTTTGAACAGATTCTGTAAAATTTCCTGTGATGTGCATTTGATGAGCAAACTCTTTTTTTTTTTTTTTTTTTTTTTTTTTTTTTTCTGTATATAAATGACTTGTAGATTCTTCAAATTTTTTACCTTTTCATTAATCAATTAAAAATTTCAGTGAAAGTTATATCTCATTTATTGTAATTTTTTCATTGCATTGTATTATTTTATATATAAGCCAATAAAGTGATCTGAAGATCTGTGTTCATTCTTAAGAAGATTATAAAGAACATTATAAAATTGGACGACATGCTTGTTAAGAATTCATTATGCGAGTTGATTCCTTAATGATTCATTCTGTTTTTCTTTATTTAATTTTTTTTTTTTAAATTTTCTGAGTATTAATATATTTATATACATGTAGTTGTTCAGCTTAAAAGGTCTTTGTGCTTCACTTTACCAAGAATGGCATGTTAAAGAGTCATGTATATAAGAAATTAATTTTGATTTGGTAATAATATATAAATATTTATATATTTAAAGGAAAACAATACCTTTGCATATACTTGAATTTTTACTCTCATCGTAAGTTTTTCATATTGGAACAAATTACCAAGTATGATTATTTAAATATACAAATATTGGTAAATGTTATGGTTCATGAAGATATTTGGAATACCAGGTCAGACAATTAGGAAAATGTGAACTGTATGGTAGTTTCAAATAGTAACAATTTTTATAAATGAAAATTATAGTTAAAAGGAGAGACAAAATGTAATGCAATGTAAATTCTCCTGAATGTAGAAATATACAGTACTACACTGGTAATATACAGTAATGAAAAAATGACAATTACTCAAAAAGTTGCTTGTAGAATTTAATGAGACTGATCCACATTATAAAACACATAGTAAGGTATAAAATAGCATGAAAATTACCAGACGGTTATGGTGTTACAGAAATTAACATACTTGTATATATAAAATGAACAAACAGTATGCTTCTGTTTGATAGAGGAAAATTACCTTCAATATGCAGTATGATCTCCCCATACAGTGATGTGTGAATGGTGTCAGTTATGCAGTCTGTCAGTTCCGTAGGAAGTGAGAGCCATTGATCTTGCAAAGCAGTTACAAGCATGGCAAGGGTCTGAAGAGAACTGAGAGCAGCTATATGACTTCCTAAAGCATCCCAAACATGCACGATAGGATTCAGACCTGGTGATCGAGCTGGCCACTCCATTTGCTGAACTGTCTGCTTATGAAAATAAACATCTGCAATGCGAGCCCTTTGAAGTCTAGTGCCGTTGTTCAGGAAATCATCACCTATTGCCCCAGCATAAGGGTGCATATAGGCATCAAGGATGTCATCTCTAAGCCTGACCACTACCGCTTCCATGTGGAAAGACATGGAAGGTCCGTGCACCCACTCAAAGAGATACCACTCCAAACACAGACACTGCCTCCCCCATATGCAACTCTTTCATGGATAGTTATCAGTTCCAGGCTCTCTCCAAATCAAATAACACCTACTGTTGCTTTGAGGCTAAACCTGGACTGATCTGTAAAGAGAACAGCCCACCACTGAAGAGCCATCCAGTGGACATGTTAACATGCCCACCTCAAACGTTCCATTCTCTGACATGGCATGAATGGCACTCAAATGGCTGATTGCCTCGCATACAGACCTTCTATGCATAGTTGATGTTGACACCAACCTTCCAGTGGCTGCAGCAAGGGAAGATCGGAATTGAGTTGGAATTGCGGTTCTGTTCCTTTGTGCGCGTAACAAGTATTGGTCTTCAGCACTTGTCATGGCAGTTGGCTGTCCTTAGCTGAACATCCTGGATGCTGAATCTATGGTTAGAAATTGTTACCAGTCTATGAACCACAGAATGACTCACATTAACTACTTCTATCTGACATTGTCCTGCCTCTAGTCTTCCTAATAGCTGTCCATCACAGTTCTTCAGGCAAATGATGCCTGGAAGTAATTGTTACAAATTGGCTATACCAGATTTCTTATCTCAGTAGCACGGCGAAATTCACAGGCTTGCTCTGAAACATGCAATTTTATGCTCCTTACAGATAATGTATTCTGATTGCAGCACCACAAATTTATACTCGTATGTAGCTTTTATTTGATAACATATTCAAATTTTATATGAATTGGCTTATATTTGAACAAGTTAGTTTTGTGATTTTTCCTTAAATTTTGGAAACCAGAGTATTTCATTCCTCAAACTGTAGGATCACTACATTTGGAATTGCACAACTTGTAAATTCTAAATTCACTCACAAAGCAAACTAGAATTATTAGTAAACTCAATAGCACTTTAGCCTAAATAAACCTGAGCATTTGAGATGCTTGTCTGCAAGCTTCTCAAATGCTCGTCTGAGCTTCTCATATATACCATGGCTTTGCCCCTTGGACATTACTTGCCCACCAGTGGCCGAGCAGTAAAATCGCTGAACACTGGTAGTTCGGTTCGAGGTTCGAATCCCGCGAACGGGCTGGCTGCATGGGCGTTTTCGTGGTTTTCCCCATGTGTAACATGTATACGAGCCAGTTTCCCTTAGAAAGTCCTCCACGAAGGCATCCCTCCCCTTAGGCAGGTAGCCCTAGTGTGCTTTGCCGTATTCTCAATACACCATAAGACAAAAACACCATGGATATTACGACAAAAACTTGGTCTGGTTTCAGAAACATGTTTTCTGGAAATACCAGAAATATCAAGATGGCGAAAATGTCAAATGTACCTAGTACCCAAAAATCAACAACAGCCTATACCACCAGTAATATTTTATTGGTCTCTTTTTATTCACAATACAGTCTTCCACATCTTAGAGTTAGCTATACTTCAAGAGTATGCATACATTTTTAAGCAGATCTACAACCAAACCATGCTTCCTTTTTGAAAACAATAGTTTAGTAAGAATATCTTTTTACAGTATCTGAGAAATGTTTTATTGGATTTGGATTGTTCCAGTCTCATAGTTATTCAGGATGTTTAATATTAGAATTTCATTTTTAAATCCATTGCCGTAATAGATATGTAAAGTGGGATACTAGGCCTGCTGTCAAATATGGTGGTAAACTTCTCATAACAGCTTTTGAGTCAATACAGAACAAGTTGAAACTACTCAAAATAATGCCCTGAGGATCATTACTGGTGGAGCATTTTCTGCTTTTATCCAGGCTATGCAATTGCAAACAAGTACTGAGCCTCTGACTTATTGAAGAAAAATAAGTGCTCTCAAGTTGCTTGAGAGATTGATGAGGTGATGATTTCTGAAAGATGTACAATCCTGCAGAGCATAGGTTAAAATCCCAACCTACCTTTTTACATGTGACAGTGATTTGTCTGATGTTATGATATCCCTTCTTTTAACAGACAACTACTATGTGAGACGTGTGTTTCTAAGACACTTGAACTTAACAAATTATAATTTAGACTTGGTTCTGCTGGCCAATAAAAAATTCTACATTAAGATTGAATTGAGGATGGCTGCTTTGGCCACTATTGGAGAAAGATTTCCAACAATGCACTGGTTGCATGTATACGCTAGTAGTTTTGCTGTTGGGGCTAATAGCAATGTTGGTGCAGGAGTTTACTATCAGAACTTTAGCAGGACTGTTGGTGCAAATTTTACTAACTATGATGCTGAAGTGGTTACTGTCCAATTGGGCTTCACCGAAATCAATAAAAGAGATGATCAGAACATTGTGATGTTTATTGATTCAGAGGCACTATTAAAGCTATTTCTTCAGTCATATTTTCAAACAATGGGTCTGTTCTTAATTGTCAGCTTGTGATAAATTCTATAATAAATAATGGTCGAAATGTTATTCTGCAGTGGATTGCAAGTCGTGGAATTATGGGTAATGAGTTTGCTGACAGCCAAGGATATGCTTTTCCTCAACAACCCAGTTCTCCTGTTTTCTATCACAGTGCTAAGAGAATCATTGGAGCCAGATGTGGAGCTCATCTTCGAGAGAAGAATGGAAACACTGTGAAGGAGAAGATTTGGGGTTCGCTAATGGAGTATCCCATTCCTTGTGACCTACCTAGACCTGTTGGTGTCTCTAACTTTAGATAAAAAACTGGACATGACTACCTCATGAAACACACAGATTGGATTTAGCAGACTCTCCAGCCTGGCCATTATGTGATGTTGACGACATGGCGGTGACCATTTGGACACTTGTTATGGACTTAATGACGTGGCAACAGCTTATGCTGACAGTTTCTGAATATTATTGGGCTGCTCGTGACAGGCTAATGGCAGTCATGTCTAGGTCTCGTGTAGGATTTAAAAAAGAAAAGTAGATGGGAACTTCAGTTCAGTATGTAGTAAATTTGGGTTCAGATTTATTACCAGATGATTTTGATCACTTTTGAGAAGAGCAGCATCACCTTGTGGAATAAAGTATAGCATCGTGAGGTTTGCAAGGTTAACAAACAGAGCATATTTGCTGTGGTTTTACTTTGTGCCAGCACCACTGATTTGAAGAATAAATGACATCAGATAAATAAAAGGAACCTCTTGTGTTAACCTTTCTGAAAGTAGGCAGTATTTCTGAGAACATGAATGAACATCTTCTGTCTGAAGCAACCACCTCTGCCAAAGACCAAAATAATAAGGAACCACAAGAGGCATCTTTAGGAGTTTCTTTATGTTTTAAATTTTTATAATCTGCATAGTTAGTCTGTTTATAAACAGTGTGTTTAACCTATGTATGAGCTTTGGCAGCATTTAGAGGGAGTCATATCCGATTTTAATTTCTATGCTTTAATAAATCTAAATGACGTTATTAAGACAATACTAAAGTACAGTACAAAGTTCGTAATCCGGACTCGTCGGGACTTCAGCGATTCCAGATTAGGGTTTCTTCCGGATTATAGATCATCAATTTAAATTTGGTAAGATGGCATGCAGAAATTATACAATTAAAATATGAAATCGTAATTTATGAAATAAAGAACAATTATGATCTAAAGGGTATCAAAATTTACAAAAAAAAAAAAAAAAAAAAAAGAAAAAGAAAGCTTAATATTTGTTTGTTTATTATATTAAAAATTTCTTTCAATGTAAGTTGTTTAAGATGCTTCCAGAAAAAATTCAAAAAGTTCCTTTTTCTTGTGTCATATATATTCTAATGCCATACTTCTCGCATAATTTTGAGACGGATAGGCCTTTATCTATTTTTTGCAGCAATTGCACTTTTTGTTTAAATGGACATCGAAACATGCTTTCACTTTGTAGATCCTTTG